TTCTTTTTTAAAGATGGGGTTTCACCATGATGGCCAGGCTGGTCTTGAACTCCTGACCTCAGGTGATCCACCTACCTTGGCCTCCCAAAGTGCTAGGATTACAGGCATGAGCCACCGCGCCTGGCCAGGAAGTGTTCTTAATTCTTCCCATTCCGCTCCCTATTCCCAAAACACTTTATTATTTTCCCCCTTATCACTGCATTCTTCCCCAGCATAACAACTCACCACGTGTGGTTATAGGAATGTAATTCTATTTCCCAATAGGAGAGGCAAGGTATGGGTCTGTCTTGTCTATAGATTTAGCCTCGATTCCTAGAACTCGAAAAGCTCTTCAGATGCTTGAATAAGAGCAGGCTTGTCATAAATTTTTTGGGTCATGTATTTAGACTTAATTAACTTTTTTGAGACAGGGTCTCACTCTGTTGCCCAGGCTGGAGTGCAGTGGCTCGATCTCAGCTCACTGCAACTTCCACCTCCCCGGTTCAAGCAATTCTCCTGCCTCAGCCTTCTGAGTAGCTGGGATTCCAGGCACCTGCCACCATGTCCAGCTAATTTTTATATTTTTAGTAGAGACGGGGTTTCACCATGTTGGTCAGGCTGGTCTTGAACTCCTGACCTCAGGTGATCCACCTGCCTTGGCCTCCCAAGGTGCTGGGATTACAGGCGTGAGCCTGGACTTAATTCCTTTAGGTCAGAGGACAAAGAGGAGTTTAGTTGGAGATATTGAAATGGAAGCATCTGTGTCCAGTACTCAGTTAAATAAGTGGGTCTGACACTCTAGTAAAAAGGTTGTCTTTGGGGAAACAGATTTGGAAATGACTAACAAGCTCTGGAAGGTAGCCTCTTGTGCCCCCAGCATTACCACCCAAACAGTCTAGATTTGGTGATTGGAAGAATAGAATTATTGGAGATGAAGGACCGGATTCTCACTCCATGGGCCGGGCGCGGTGGCTCATGACCGTAATCCCAGCACTTTGGGAGGCCGAGGTGGGCAGATCATGAGGTCAGGAGTTTGAGACCAGCCTGGCCAACATGGCGAAACCCCATTTCTACTAAAAATACAAAAATTAGCCAGGTGTGGTGGAGCATGCTTGTAGTCCTAACTACTTGGAGGCTGAGGCAGGAGAATTGCTTTAAACTGGGAGGTGGAGGTGGCAATGAGCCGAGATCTTACCACCTCACTCCTGCCTGGGCAAAAGAGCAAGATTGTATGGGAAAAAAATAAATAAATAACTGATAAAGAAGGGTTCTCAATCCAATTAAATTTTCTTTTCTATGGATTAATTTTTTTTCATCACAGAGATGACCTCTACCTTCAACCCCCGAGAATGTAAACTGTCCAAGAAAGAAGGGCAAAACTATGGCTTCTTCCTGCGAATTGAGAAGGACACCAAGGGCCACCTGGTCCGGGTGGTTGAGAAGGACAGCCCGGCAGAGAAGGCTGGCCTCCGGGACGGGGACAGAGTTCTTAGGGTCAATGATGTCTTCGTGGATGAAGAAGAACATGCGCAGGTGAATGAGACGCCCAAGCTCCTCTCCCAGGACCTCTCGGAACCCCACATCTCTGCTGATTATAATTTTGGGGGTTGGTAGAGTTTGGTTCCTTCCTGGCTGCCAGTGGCAAGGCAGGACACCTTGCTTGCTGTACCTTATGTTGGCCAATCAAGTCCTCTGTGAGAAACCAAGAACTGTAAACGTTATTCTTGGATTTGGATAGCGTCAGGTCTAACATGAATTGCAGGGTCACTACATACCAAAAATGCAATTCATTATCCGAAGTCCCCATCGTGACCCTGTGTGGTAGATGTTACCGTCTCACAGGTAACTTAGCTTGCAGACATGTTCATGCCATGAATACATGGGGGAGTCTGGCCTTACCCTATCCTGCCTGACCCCGAAAGTGTGCTCTTTTCCTTACACTGTGCTGTCCCCATGGACTCGGGAGGAACGGTCACAATCTAGGGCAGCACTGTTCTCTAGAAAGAACCAGTCCTTGTAAGAACCCGCTGGGTGGGGTTGGGCCACACTCTAGATTCCAGCAGTGCCAGGAGCTCAGCCTAATCTGCACCTGGCTCTCGGGAGGGCAGGGATGGAGGCGGCTGCGGAAACAACTCCTTCTACTTGGGTGTCAGGGGCCAACCAGCAGGGTCTTGAAGGCCAGATGCTGAGTCAGGTGGTCAGCATTTCCCTCCGGCAGTTGATAGAGGGTTATTAAAGTTATCTTCTTCCCTCCTAGGTTGTGGATCTGGTCAGGAAGAGTGGGAATTCGGTGACTTTGCTAGTTTTAGACGGAGATTCCTACGAGAAAGCAGTGAACACATTGGTAGACTTGAAGGAGTTGGGTCAGAGTCGAAGTGAGCACAGTTTGAGTGATGACACACTCTGTCCTGTCATGAATGGGGGCGTGCAGACTCGGACCCAGCCCCGGCTCTGCTACCTGGTGAAGGAGGGTGGCAGCTACGGCTTCTCTCTGAAAACTGTCCAAGGTGAGTTTGCAGGGTTGGGTGGTGGGGGGTGCCGGGCACAAGCAACGGGCTTCCAGAAAAAAGACTTTCCTTTGACTGACTTTGCAGTTGCTATAGATAGCTCATAACAGCGTCCCTCCCTGTCTCCCTCCCTTGCTCCCTGCCCACCTGCCCGCCCTCCGTCCCTCCGTCCCTCCGTCCCTCCCTCCCTCCCCCCCTCCCCCTCCCTGCCTGCCTGCCCACCCTCTCCCACTCCCTCTCCTTGTAAGTTGTACAATGGGGGAGGGACATTGGACAGCCGTGGGGATGGGGGACATGAGGCACTCATGCCCCTAAATGTTTGTCAGGGACCCGACCTTGAAGACTGAGGATGCTTTGAGGTCAGGGGGTCGGAGGTTGCTTGTTATTCCTTCTGGCTCTCTTACGGTGAAAATAAAGGGGAGAATACGGAATGAGAGGCGAAAAATGAGATTCTTCTTCTATTTTTTAATTTTTTTTTTTTTTTTTTGAGACAGAGTTTCGCTCTTGTTACCCAGGCTGGAGTGCAATGGCGCAATCTTGGATCACCGCAACCTCCGCCTCCTGGGTTCAGGCAATTCTCCTGCCTCAGCCTCCTGAGTAGCTGGGATTACAGGCACACGCCACCATGCCCAGCTGATTTTTTGTATTTTTAGTAGAGACGGGGTTTCACCGTGTTGACCAGGATGGTCTCGATCTCTTGACCTCGTGATCCACCCGCCTCGGCCTCCCAAAGTGCTGGTATTACAGGCGTGAGCCACCGCGCCCGGCCTAATTTTTTTATTTTTATTTTTGGCCACCACTTGTCACCCACCAAGATTCTTCTTAATAACTACTTTTAAGATTGGCACCTTTTTCTATCTGAGTGCCCAGATAGTCATTCATTTTTTCAACAAATTCTTGAGCACCTACTGTGTGCCGGGCACTGTTACCTTTGCTGAGAATTCTGCAAAAATCTCCACCCTCCTGTAACATTTTGATAGTATCCTCAGCTGTGGCTCAGCCCCACCTGTTCTGAGGTGCCTCTTCGAGCCCTAGCTGAGGGGTACATAGTGATTTGAGAAATCCTGGCCATCAGGAAGCACTCGAAGTTCTGTTTCTAGAATTTCAGAGGTACAGAGTAACTGTGTTCAGTTGACCGTAGTCTGGGTTGGTGGCTGGAACCAGAGGAGCTGTGTTAGCTGGCTGGTTCCATTGCGAGCGCCGCCTCTGCCCACGTTCTTTCTGGGGCGGGTGGTGGGTCTTGATTTGGCAAGTGATAGCAGCAGCAGGCTAACAGTAAATTCAAAATAGCTTCTAAGGCTTATTTAACCTGTACCAAGAGATGTAAACTCATGATAAGGGGTATTTCTCAGCTTTTTCAGTTATTAAACGCAGCGGTGTGGATACTCAAAGGAAGCTTGACATGTCTTAGAAGCCTATTATCAGAAAAGTGGTTAAAAAAAAAAAAGGGAAAAGCATAATTCAGATTCTAGTCATGCAGCTCATGTGCTGATGCACACAGTGAATGGTTTAGGTCAGCTTTATGAGGAAAGTGGTTTCTTCCCGACAGATACATAAGAAGATAGCAGGAGAAATGCTGAGTGTTTAAGGAAGCAGATTTTAAGGTACTGTTATTCCTTACAAGTGATTTATGCAGTCATTACCAAGCGATCCCTTGCCTAGGTTGAAATACAGGAGTCTCCCCTTATCCTGTTTTGCTTCCCATAGTTTCAGTTACCTTACCTGCAGACAACTGTAGTCTGAAAATAGTAAATGGAAAATTCCATAAATAATAAATTTTGCATTGTGAGCCGTTGTGAATAGCGTGATGAAATCTCACGCTGACGGGCTCCATCCTGGCCGTGAATTGTCCGTCTGTCCAGCATCCCCGTGTGCCATGTGCTTACCTGCCTGTTAGTCACTTACCACTCAGTTATCAGGTCAACTATCGCGGTATTAGAGTACTGTGTTCAAATAACCCTTATTTTACTTCATAATGGCCCAGCACAGAAAGAAAAATATCACATGTTCTTATATGTGGGAGCTAAAAAAAACAAAAGTGGATCTCATGGAGGTAGAGAGTAGGATGAGAGATACCAGAGGCTGGGAAGGTGTGGGGGAGGGCGGGGCTGAAGAAAGGAAGGTTAATGGGTATAAACACACAGAGAGAAGGAATAAATTCTAACGTTTGACAGCACAGCGGGGTGACTATAGTTAACGTATTGTACATTTCAAAATAGCTGTAAGAAGATTCAAAATATTCTCAACACAAAGAAATGATTAATGTTCCAGGATGGCTGTCCTAACCCTAACCGTGATTTGTTCATTATATGCTTTTTGTATCAAAATATGACACACACCCTGTAAATATGTACAAATGTTATGTATCAATACAAAGTAATAGCCCAAAATGCAACAGTAGTGATGCTAGCAGTTCAGATATGACAGGATCACACCTGTAATCCTAGCACTTTGAGAGGCTGAGGCAGGCAGATCACCTGAGGTCAGGAGTTCGAGACCAGCTTGGCCAACACAGCGAAACCCCATCTCTACTAAAGATACAAAAATTAGCCAGGCATGGTGGCAGGCGCCTATAGTCCCAGCCTAGGACTACAGGCTCAGGATGCCGAGGCAGAATTGCTTGAACCCAGGAGGCAGAGGTTACAGTGAGCCAAGATTGCGCCTCTGCACTCTAGCCTGGGTGACAGAGTGAGACTCTATCTCAAGAGAAAAAAAGAAAAATGCAACAGATTTTTATATATTGAGTCTATATC